TATCGCGTCGATGCGTGTGTCGCGACGAGGTATCCAAGTTGGCTCATTACTATCCAGCGCACGTAAGCGCCACGTGGCCGGTGGCGTGACCGCGAAAGGCCGGCACCGCCGCCATCGCCCGCCCGCCTTTCTGAGTCGATCGAGTTGGTCCAAGTACACGACGGTATCACGCGCCGCCTTCAGACGCCATTCACTTGGGTACGTTGAAGTTGAGGACGACGACCCATTCCTTGCCGTGTCCATGACTGCCCTCGCAGCGATGACGACATCGGCGAGCAGCATGCGTCGTCCGCGCAGCGTGTCGCCGCGCGCGGCTTGTTCTGGGTGCGGACACGAGCCCTTTTGTGCCCGTTGCGCCCCGTGCTGTCTAGCGGGGCTGTCTATGTAATAATATTTGGAGGCGTCGGAACCGGCTCGTCGTCATCATGATGCGAATCGCGGCCGTCTCTCTGTGCCGCGGACGCCAAGGTCATTACATTGCACGATGGCCCAAGTGGGTTGCTGGCGACGGGACGTCACGGCCGTCGTTGGCACCGCGGTCCTGTCCTTGGCGAACGCGATCTTTACGCTTTCTTCAAGGATGCACTTGATTGGTCGGTCGATTGTCTCCGGATGTATTACCCATGGCATCCCACTGCGCACCGCAGCGTCGGCGGTTGCGTCTTGGCCACGACAGAGGCAGCGCTGAAAGGAAGAATGGCAGCAACAGGACTGAAGACGTTTCTGCACAGCCATGACGCGACGTGATGGCGCGTCCGTTCTGGACGCGACGCATTTGGCGCAATTTCACAACCAGGATATCGTTCTGGTCGCCGGATGTCGTCGTCCATAGGAGGTTGCGACTCGCAACCGAGCATCGCCCAACAAGCTCTCGCAATCGTACACTCTTGTTGTACGGTCCAGGCCATAGCACCAACCCTTTGTATGGGCTGTCGGTTGCCTTCTGAGACCCGTTCAAACTCAGCTCGTAGCATCACATTGACCGGACGGGCAATTTTCAACCGCCTTTGCCACATCGAACATGAGGTGTTCAGCCAAGTGTCGTTCCGTGCCGGTATGTGAGCGCAGTCTCAGAAAGGCAGGAAGCCTCTACGCAACAGTACGACAGCCTCACGCACGGGAAGTGAAATGATCCTCAATAAGTAAGCAAGAAGCAATATCGGGCTACTAATTTAGGCTTTACAAGAGTGTGCAACGTGTCGTAGAGAAACACGCCGCAGCGCACAACACATCCTGTAACTAGTACAAGCATAGCATTACACTGGCATCATCGGGTCGTGGTTTAGTACAAGCACCGACTCGCTACTAACGCATCGCGTGCCCCAGGAAAGCACCTTGACGAGCGGCGCCCGGAGGACAACGACAAGCAGACATTCGAGGACGTAGACACCGACGCAGCCAAACGGATGATCGACGCAGCTCACGCTTTTGCCCCACCCAAAGAAAAACTCAAAGTCTTCCCATCGCCATCGCAGAGCCATGACCGCCAGCTCGATCGCCGACTCGGCCACATCCCAGAGTGTACTGCCCCAGAAGTACCCGAGAGGCATGCAGAGCACGGCGCGACCGAGCAGTAGGTACGCCCACGTCTTTGCCAGCGCCGTCGGCGTGCGCACATCGACCATGCGCACCACAAAGAGAGGCCGGTATCCGCGACTCGCGCTCTGACGAACGCTCAAGTCGTATGCGAGCGCGATCGTCTTGGAGCTCGGTGCAA